TAGATCAAAGTAACTTCGATGCTTGTGTTAGGCTCGTTGCTTTTATTTTGATTTGTTTATTGCCTGGTTTACAGAATTATTGCTTTGTTGTTTTATTGATTCTTGGCAAAAACTGATTATTGAGCCACCGCGCTGTCCCGTGGAAAATGCATAAAATGCGCGTGTTTTACGTCCTCCGCCGAAACTCCCTCTTTGCGTGACGGGGCTTCTTTTCACGTATTTACTTATTGGCTGGATGTGCTTGACGATGTTGTCTGGCGTGCGGCCACAGGATTCATTTGAGAAAAGTCAATGTAAAAGAAAACGGCCACTGCACGACGTTGCATTTTTTGTGTGGGTTGCAGTGCCTCCACGTTGTATTGAAATGTTTGTTGGAGTAATTCTTGTATTTTCATTGTGCTTGAGCTGCGCGCTTTCTTTGTTTGGTCATGGCGCCTGCAGTGGGACTCTGCGGCTGCGTACTTGTCGCACGTGTTGCAACTCATGCTGTTGCTCCCTCGCTCTGTGTTGGTGGGGGAGGAGGCGCGTGATGGCGTCGGTGGAGAAGGAAGGCACCGACCGCTGCTGACAGCGACGGTCTTTGCTGCAGGTGATCTGACGAGATGACGTCACTGGTGTAACCACCAACCGAGATGAATGAGGACCGCACCGCATCTCTTTTCTCTCTCATCATCATGTCAGCCCACAGCAGCCACAGGCCACATGCACCGCGCGGCATCTGGGCGACCACCATTCGGACGGCTGCGAGCCAATTAGATTGTGCAATTGATGTGGACCTTTCTTTCTTGTGTCTTCGTAATGCCGTCATGCTTCTTCATTTTTTATTTCGTTCTTGTGTAATTTAGTGCGCGTATGATTTTGCTGTTCCTTGTGCTGTACCGACCCATCGGTCACACTAGCAGCGCCAATGGTCATGTTTGTTTTTGTCTGGACAACGCTACTTGGCACGGTGGTTGTGTGAGGCTGCGCGGGCGGTGGGAGGGCGATGGTGTTACTGATTTGATTGCGTCTGCGCTTCTTTGTGTCGGTGGTTGTGCTTTGGTGGGGACTGTCTGTGACCGGATGCCTCTGTCGGCCACTGTGTTTATTTGCTGTTGCCGCTGCTTTCTTCTTCCCTGATTGTGCAGTTAGAGATACTTTTGCTTTACCTGCACAACTATCGTTTCAAGGTGTTAGGGATTAATTGCAGCAGTAGGATTAGTAGCAGTGGGATATTGATCTATCGGAATAGTGTTTCTTGATTTGCCATTTGTAGAAAGGGATTTGCTAAGCAGGGGGAATGGTCGATGAGGCGAGTGCGACACACCACGACAGCCTTATTGGTAATTGTTTGGGTCGGTGGATGCGGTTTGCGGTGGGTACGTGTCAGCGCAGCCGTCACCATTTGCGGAGCAGTGCCATTGCGGCTGTGCGTGCGGCGCTGCTTGTGGCGTTGGCGTTTATGCTGCACGCGACG